ATTTTTTTTAACAAAAAAGTAACTTATAAACCGGCCAAACATTCTCGGAAAAACCGTATGTGGTCCAAAAGGCTGTGGACAGCACAAGTTGAAAATTCTATTGGATGCATAAAATTCCAAGATAATTATATGTTGAGACCTCTTTTAATTTTATATAATTGGGAACTATTATTTTGAAGAATTAATTAATAATTACTTAATTAGAGAATTGTAAATTTAAATAATGTGAATTCCAATGCTTTGGTAATTTTATTCACTTGAGTTTCAGTATTAATTTTTTGTATTCATTTTTTTTCTATTTCTAGTCTTAATTATTTTGAATAATTTCTCTTCTCGCAAATTTGGCTAATAATTTATCTAATTTAGATGAGATTGGACTTTCTAAATTTTAGCAATCCTTGGAATTCAAAATTATTGCTAGTATCGTGAATAGATTGAATTTTGATTGGTCTCAGTTCGATAACCCCAATCAAGATCCGAATTCGATAATCAGTTCACTAAATGAAACGAATATGAATATAGGTCAATCCGATCCGATAATCACTTGATCCGATTTGTTATAATAATATAATATATTTGACTATATCCATCCCATAAAGATAGTATTGTCTTCCTTTTTATCTGTTCCAAATTATAGTCATATTTCTCATTTGAGAATATAGTTAGTGTGTGTTTGGTAGGGATTTTTTGTGGGAAGAATTGATTTTGAATAGTGATATGATGGGAAATATGTGGTTGAAAAAGAAGATAAGATTATTGATGTGATAGAAAATATTATTATATTGAAGAATGTGTGGTTGAAAATGAGAATAGTCATATTTCTCATTTGAGAATATAGTTAGTGTGTGTTTGGTAGGGATTTTTTGGGGGAAGAATTGATTTTGAATAGTGATATGATGGGAAATGTGTGGTTGAAAAAGAAGATAAGGTTATTGATGTGATAGAAAATATTATTTTATTGAAGAATGTGTGGTTGAAAATGAGAATTGATTTACTGTTGAAAATGAGAATTGGTACCAAACATAGCCTTAATATATTATTTTCTTAATATGTCAATGTTTAATGTGTTTTATTATTACAAATATAAACAACTCCATTATTCAACTATACTTGAAACAATAAATTAAAATTAAAAAATATTTCATCTTCCATGACATTTATTTATTTGTATTTGGTTGGATGACTTTAGAATGTTAATTACCTTTATTCTTGCATTAAATAATGATTAGCATCAAGAATAGTTTAATTACATTGAATATTGTATGCGTTATTTAATTACCTTGAATATTGATTACATAAATGTATGAGTATATTAAGAAAAATGATAATAAAATTTATTATTTCAACTATATTAACTAAATTTTCTTAATTAAAAAGAAATATGACTATCTCTATGGGGCACATGAAATATATATTATCATAATTTATTACACATTTTTTTTTTCATTTTAAAACTTGTATTGTACTTTAAACATAATTTTCATATAATAAATAATATTAGATAATAGCATAATATTGTTAATCCAAATATTTGAAGAGTTTTTAATTTTTTTATTAATTAAAATAACATAAAAAATAATTAATTTATTTTATAAATTAAATAACCTAATGGACCAGCAGTTGGAATTGCTTTCATTGTTCCC